ACAAGTCCATGCGGTATCAAAGTAGTATAATCAAATACATTTAAAAAAATAGTTATCAAACTCTAATCAATTATGTATTAGCGATGTTGATCTACAATCTTTTGCCATCTTTCGGGTAGCATTAGAATTCAGCATTCATAAAAGTTCCAGACTTTACTTATAAAATGCAGCTCTAACGGCCGTTTGACGGTCACTTCGTTATCAAAGTCGTGTCAATGTAAAGAATTTTTAAAAGGCCGAACCAAGTGGCAAATCTGAAGAAGCTATATAATAGATTTTGAAGATTGAAGATGTGTGTGGGATCTGTGGTATACGGATAAACCTACTCAGGTTTCTGTTGCGTCGCCATATTTAAATTAATAACTATTCTTTTGTATTATTTTTTGGATTTTTTTTAAATAAATAAGTAATGTGTTTTTTTAATGTGTAGGGGTTAGAATATAATATCTTTGTCAACCTATTTCTAAGATATCCCGATAAATGGCCACAGTTACATGACATCTGAGATCCATAACCAGCAGCTGTGACGGAAGGTAAGTCAACATCAATGTAACGCGTCGCAAGCGTGAAATCAGTTGCAAAATCCAAAAGCCGTCGCGGATTTCTGAATGCGACGCTATTCTAAATCAAAGGACATGTGTTTGTAATGCTGACACCCGTTCAGCGGCACTAATCGGCGAAGAAAGCCCGTACAAATTCCTAAGAAATAACCGAAAAACCGAAATTTTTCTGCCATTCGTTCCGGTACCGCGATTTCATGGTGCCCTATTACTGTATCCTGCAGCCTTACGTATTAGACGCATTACCAAACTAGCTTTGTAAAGGTAGGAATAGGAGCGGTGTCACACGATGTGTGTGTTTAGTCGACGTAGCGACGCCTGAGACGTGACGCTGTGTTGTTGTACTCTTCTTCCTGTTCTTATCCCACGCTAGGTGGGGTCGGCACAACATGTTCTACTAATATAAATAAAAACTACATGTCACATGGCGCGTTGAAACTTCACGCGGCGATAGAACGCGTGCGCATCGGACAAGGGACCTGGAGACGAAGCGGGGCGGGGTTGCAGTGCGTAAGTAAGTCAAATCTAATAAGTCTTATTTCAAGACGGAATTTTTTTATAATATAAGTAATGAAACGAACAAGTCGTGCGCCTGGTGATAAGCGAGGCATGTCCATAACAGTTGCCGTGCCACTCAGTGCTTTAAATCGCATAGATCTGAGGAGCACTGCCACAGCACTTGTCACTCTGAGACATAAGTTGACAAGTCCCATGTGCCTGTAATTTCACCAGCACCATTACCCTTCAAAACCAAAACGCAGGAATGCTCGCGTTACTGCTTGGCGGCAGAAGTAGGTAAGGTGGTAGTACTTCCCTGGTCGAAAACTTTCACAAGGAGCTCTACTAATTACTCGCATCCTATCCTTGTATTAAGACTTATTCGACTTTGGTGAAATCCTCACTAAGGGGAGTTTCGTTGCGAAAATCACACGTTATAACGACGCAACGCACCGGCAGCGGCAGCGCCCGTGTGATATGGCTCTTACGTATTAGACGCATAAAACTACCTTTGTAAAGGTACGAATAAACGTCGTAGGTGTCGCTCACTTTTGTATCGTCCGATATCTCCAAGTCGGAACGAATTGCGTTTAGAAATAGACCGATTTATCATTCTTAAACGTTTGCCCGCGTTCGTATTATGTCCATTAAATGGACATCCCCGACTTTTGTAAAATGTCAGGTTTTCTGAACGATTTTCTGACATGTAGGCCTCGTTGTATTTATTATTTATTTTACTTATCGGTGACTATTTAACTTTAAAAGACAAATATCGACGTTTGGAGACCTTCATTCGGAACTACAAAGGTGTAACTTATTACAAAATACAATCGAGATCATATTCTATTATGCCATGTACGAAATACCGTAACATTGGTATAACAAAATGACACGAAAGCGCCGTTTTGAAAAAAATATATAGCATGTTTTAGTTTTTCACGCCTATTTTAAAATATTTACGTCGAATTTTAAATATAATTTTAAAACCTTAACTTAATTTAAACCAAAATTGAATTTTAAAAAAGGACATAAATACTTTAAAGTACTTGTAAAAATTTAAAACATACTCCCGTGAAAACATTTCCGAAATGGCGTTTTTTACCTTTTTACAGAACACCGGTGGTACGCTCATGTATAAAGAGCTGCCTTCTTATGAGAAACGCTTTTCTTATTTTAATTTAATGAATTTACGGAATAAATGATTGCTACTAGATCACATATTCTTACACAAGATTGTAAATAAAGCCGTGAACTGCCTTTTTCTGTTGGGACTAGCGAAACTCAACGTACCCCCTGAAGCTGCCTCGTTTGAGTAGGTACGTTCCATTTTCAGTTACGGGTAGTAGTAGTAACCTGGGCCGTCATGTCACCATGAATTGACGACCAAGACAATATAACCACTTGCATAAGAGGAATGACTGCCTTGTCGACATTTTTTCAAATAATCCTTCGCGATTTAAGCGCACAATCAAGACTGCTCCCACGTCGGTGTCAATGTAGTTTCACATAAATTCTTACCTTTGTATTTTAATTGTTTTATTATTTTATTTTCATAATATACAGGTAAGATACAATAAATGCTTATATACAAGAAAGTAAAACTAGGCCGAAATTATATGAATAAAATTGGGTCCCCGCGGCAAGGTGCCCAAGGCGCTGGCATCGTTCCCCCTTTGTATGGCTGTGCTTATGTGATGGGCAGGATAGCTGCCGGCTGAATCCAATCGGCGAATGTAACACATTCAGGAAAGTTTTTTGCCTAAATTATAATACCAAGCGACAAGACGAACAAGTCGTGCGCCTGGTGATAAGCGACACGTCTATCCATAACAGTTGCAGTGACACTCAGAGCTTTAAATCGCAAAGATCTTATGGCCACTGCCACTACGCCCGTCACTCTGAGACATAAGTTGACAAGTCCCATGTGCCTGTAATTTCACCAGCACCTCTCTAATATATTATACTACATATGTTTGGTAGCAATAGAGTTCCATGTGAAAGAGTTCGTCCAGGGAAGTACTGCCACCTTATCTATTTCTGCCGCCAAGCAGTAATGTCAGCATTACTGTGTTCCGGTTTTAAAGAGTGCTGGTGAAATTACAGGCACATAGGACTCGTTAACTTGTCTCAGGGTGATGGGTGCAGTGACAGTCCCCTCAGAATGTATCTCCTCCAATATACCTCGAGATGAAATCATAAAAAAACATAATCGTTTGTCAAGGTTAAATTGTACAAAAATTTTTGAAGCTCTGTGTTCTTAACGAAATTACAAAAGTGGTACATGTGTCTCCCCATACCTTGCGTTATTGTTGTCCACGAACGTTTCTGGTTTTGGCTCAGGTAAACATCAGCAACAAATGGATTTAAGTGACGCGACGGACACTTGTCCGCCTGGTGTTAGGCGACACGCCTGTCGATAGCAGTTGTAGTGCCACTCAGAGCTTTAAAGCGCAAAGATTTGAGCGGTACTGCCACGACACAAGTTGATAAGTCCCATGAGCCTGTAATTTTACCAGCACCTTTATCCTTCACAATCGGAACGCAGTCATGTACGTATTTATTGCTTGGTAACAGAAATAGACACGGTGGTAGTACTTCCCTGACTGGGCGGACTTTTTTACAAGTAGCTCTACTGCTGCAGATTCTTCATAATATATTTGGTAATAGTAAATATGAGTGTGTCTTCGTCAACAAACTACCTAGCAGTTTGGCGGGCTTTAAATTTGTACCCAAGTGTTATTTTTAATGAACGAATAATTCATTTTTTGTTATTACTTCAGAATTCTTTATCAAATAAATTTTCTTTTTTATAAAGGTAAAGTATAGCGCCACGTTGCATTACTTTTACTTTTGTTTGTGTTTGTGTCTTATTCATAGTGTTGTCTCGTTTTTGTGTTTTCGTTCATAGAGCATGTGATAAAGTAGCGTGTCTATAAATACTACATTATAAGAAAAGGACATTGAAGTGAAGAAATAAAATATATGCAATCTTATTAATTAAACGTTGTTTATTAAAAATGGGAGATCAAACGAAAGTCTTGGAATTCCTTAACAGTAGCAGTCTACACGAATGATATTACTTAATCTAAGTTTCTTAATTAAACCTACAACTAACAATAATTAAAACTACAATTAACTTGACACAATTGGAAGAATTCATCAAAAATAAAGATAACTTAACTATTTTATAATACTATGAAAAAACATGCAAGAAAACTACAGTCTCGAGAATCAACAGTAAAGCTAAACAAATGACAAAGATATTACAAAATCTAAGAATTCTAAACATTAAAAAAAAGATTGGCACGTTCGGCCTACTTCTGCATGTACTATAAGCATTAAAATATGATATTATACAAAACTATACCATCCTTACAAATTATTAAAGCTCATGTCATTGATATGTTAAATTCATACCGAGATACTTATAGACTAACAATAGATCCATAAAGTGCAAAGGCTTACTCATACATTACATTAATATTCACTAAGTTAAAATAAGTCAATCGCCAAAGCAAACTAATTTGAAGTTTTAGAGAGGCCAGTGCACTTTGTGGATATAGAATTTTCATATAAAATTTGTTCATATTGCTCTCTCTTAATCTAATTAAAGCTTCCACATTTTTACTTCAAATATCACAGTCAATATAAAATCTCTCTTAAAACTAACGGAAGACCTTGGATTAAAGATACAGTATGGAATTATTAGCAGCTAATTCTGCTTTAGTAGTTAACGTGTAGCTGGAAATGGTGCGGTGATAATTACAGTGCGATTATGAGTTAAAGCTGTCTACCAAAACTTGCGGACAATTTACTGTTAATATTATATCGAAATACTTATTTAAGAATGCAAACACAACGCCTCCAAGACGTATTTACCGCTATGGATCACAGAAATCGATTACGTGTAAAATCACAAATAAACGACGATGAAACATTGTGTCAGCATTCACTAAATCTAAACATGGAAGACATTGGATATGCTCAGAAACCGTGAGCTGGCGCTTAATCTACTTGGAAGACAAGATTTTGTTTTCACTGCATAAAAATTTAGACGCTAAAAGAACCAGCGAAGAAAATTGGGACAGTAGAGAGTAATTGGAAGTGTTAAGAAATTAGTTACAAAGTTTACATACGAAGCAGTTGTTCCTCGTCGACGAGTAGCAGATTTCGCGAATTTCGTTGGCCATGTTGTCGATGACTTCGAGATCGTCAGGGATGATCTCGAAACGGCTGGTGTTAAGTTTGTCTTGGTTCTCGGTGTTGTCGACGTGCTCTACTGGGATCGGTTTCACCGGTTCCACGGGATAGAAGAAGTCAGAAAATGGCACCAGGATTGGTTCTACAGGGTATGCAGTCTTTTGCGATGGCAGGTCAGCGCGCGACGAAGTGTTGGAGATCAACTCCCCCAACTTCGACCAGCACTTGTTTAGATTCACTCGCGTGGAGCTTGTCACCTTCCGCGGAAGCTTAGGCTTTGGGTTCTGTAAAGATTGGAGAAATTTGTAAGTCATAAGCTTTACATGTCTTTGTGTACGGTGAAAAAAATATTAAAAACAAATAAAAATAAACTTATAAACAGATTAAAAGAACTGAATGTGTAAACAAACATGTCATTTACCTGACGGTTCAGAAGCTTAGCCCATGGCGAGCGGGGAGATACAGCGTCTTTTGGCGGTGACGTTTCTTCCTTAGCTAAACACATGGTTAACTAAACTACGCTATGTATTTACAGGGTCGAGAGAACGACACGTACGCGTGAAGCGTTCGCAGGGAATGATTGAATCAGGAAGGGCGGGTGGGCTTATATAGCGGTTCCCCTCTACGCGTGCGGCGCGCGTGCGCCGGGAGCGAGCGGGGAGCGCGCGCGCAGCACGCGAGCTGTAGCGCGCGCGCCTACATACTGGTTTTTATGCAGCACTTCTACGAATGGAGGCTTTGACGTGCCGTGACTTAGAAGTACCTCCAACTAGATTGCGCCTGGAAAGCCTTATTGATGACTCTGACTCGACTGAGGCTTGATTGAAGATAACTTTTTCGAGATGCTACTTGATTGATTGTACTTATCTCTAGCCCGTTTATAATTGATAATAACTTTTATCTAAATGTTTTGTTCCAGTCGTGATTTGAATCCTTGAGGGTCCGACAAGATACTTCTTGCATCGAGATTGATTTTGTGTTTCATAATTAAAACTTGTAATCAAATCTCAAATCAGTATCTCAATCTTTACAGTAATGTCATTACATAAAGTCGCCTTCATGAATCGCTAATAGGTCTTGTTAGTCTAGAAAAATATAATTTTATGTCGAAGATTCCCTTATCATCGCAAAAAAACAGGTTGTGGCTTAGTTGGTGCGGCTGTCGAGTGACTCGGATGTCGCAGTCACTGCAGGCGATTAGTGGTTAGAATAAATATATATCCTATCGCAACACATGAATCACGCCGTCCAGCTGCCTTTGCAGCGGATATTTGCAAGTCTAGTACCTATTGCATAATAAAAAATATCCAGATAAATGCGCTGATAAATGTAGTGAAGCTAGACCTACGGCATATAACAGAAATAGATAAGTATAGTGCATAAAATTAAACGATAGTATCGTAGTACAGCTAAAGAGTTCGTTCAAACGTGTCATAATTCCATAAATATCTTGAGGATACGCTAGTCAGTATTGAAAAACACAAATTTAAATGGTGTAAAACCGTTCGGGCTTCTTAAACGGCCACCGGTGGTCTCATAATATCGTCTTAATATTAATATTCAATATTTTGACTTCTTGAGAGTGTTGTTCAATGTTCATTTGGAAATTAATATGTTTTTACACTAAACTCATTTAAAACAAAATTAAATTGTGTTTAGTGAATTTTATATCGATTAACTAATATATTATACTACATATTTTTAGTCGCAGTAGAGCTCTTTGTGAAAGAGTTAGTCCTGGGAGATACTGCTAGTTTACCTATTTCTTCCGCCAAGCAGTAATGTGAGAATTACTGTGTTTCAGTTTTGAAGGGTGCTGGTGAAATCACAAGCACATGACATTTCTCAACTTATGTCTCTGGGTGACGGGCGCAGTGCCAATGCCCCTCAGATCTTTGTGATTTAAGGCTTTGAGTGGCATTGCAACTGTTATGGACAGGCGTGTCGTGTACCACCAGGAATACGAATTGTTCGTCCCATTACTTAGTATCGTAAAAAAAGATAAAAGGAAGATACTTTAACGTCATTAATATTAAAACCGCTACCTATGCCTGTACTCTTGGCATCGAGTATATAACCAGAAATGGAGACGAAATAAGGGTCATCCATCCCTGGCAACTCACCAGGTAAATAGGCCTTATATCATTTTTAAATGTCAACTCTCGTTAGCGCCGAAATCACAAATTAGAAAACAGAAATAATACAGCGTCAACAATTGACCTGTGCGTACGTTTTCGTATATTCCAAAGATATTCTGTATTTATTGTAAAAAAGATAATATCTCTAACAATAATGGGGGCTGTTCCATTCGGTGGTATGGGAAGAGACAGCAAATCGTCTAATTATAAAACAAACCGGATCACATTTCATCGGTAATTAAACATTAAATACGTAATTTTACAATTTTCGTCTATTATAGCAAAGTTCGAGTTAAACACGTTGTCTTGAAGTGAAACAATTGACGACACCTATCCTACCTATTGTTTCGAATTCGGGCTAACCAATCGCGCAGTTGTCACCGTATGATTTGGCAGAATAGTTTTCAAAGGAATTAAATGACATTTCGTCTCTATTTCTGGTTACATACTCGATGACTCTTGGACATCACAAGAACATGAACAAGAAACGGTTTATTATACTTAATTAGCTTAATTACGAGGCGAGGCAGACCAGGGAAGAGATAACGGGATGACTTGGACGCATATAATAAAGAAAGCCCTAACATTACGTCATTCTAGGAGCTCTGAAAATCGAGAAACCTTAGCCCGGTAGTGGGAGACAATAATCTAAATAAAAAAGAAAAAACTGTATACGTCATAGAGTCATCATCGTTAAATCAAATATATACGTTTCTGTTCATAAATTTAATCAAAATTCTATGTACAAAACGTGTCCTGGTGTTTTAATAAAACAACGCATTCTAAACCAGCCTGCAACTAACTGCAGAGCTTAGGAGATTTATCACGCTGTCACTTCCTGCGATCGGACCGGCGCGCGCGCTGCAAATCACGCGGTCTGATGCATCATTTCCTCCGCAACACACGACGGCTAATATTAATGCAAATGTGTGTTATATTTAAACGCACACTGCAGTTGTCAGACGTAACTACGCGCACTATGTAACTTTGCACTGTATTGAGTATGTAGATGTGCAATAACTATATATAGAGCTTCCTCCGTCACGCGATAATACTCGTATAGCTACTTAACTGTAGTCTGTCTGTTTTGACGACGGAGTAAAATGACATTTGCAGGGTTGCCAGTTTTCGTAAAATTTAAAATAGTCAAGAAGTTGTTTTCGACCGTTTTATCGATAGATTGTCAAAAGAATGTGTGTGTATTGTGAATGTTACGACATACTAATGATTGCTAATTGCGTTAGTGTATTCTTATTTTGACTGATGGTTTATTATTATCAAAACCAATTTTTATTCGTACACATTTTAATAACGGCATGTGGATTACGTATATTAAATTAAAATGAAAAAAATTAAAATATGCCTCCTATTTATATTTTTAATAGACATACTTCTAAATTTAGTGTGTGTATGAATTAATTTTGAACAACTCAAAATTAACAACTCTAATGAACCTGTGCCCTGCAGTTGAAGGTATAATGGGCCGAGGATAAATCAAATGAAACAAATTCGGCTATTTATTTCAAAGGCGTAACCTACGTTCAGTCGATAGTTGATATAATATTTATCGATTACAATCACTAGTTGCTTGTAAGCGGGCAGCACTTTTGCGTAATGAAATGTCATTTTACTCGATCTTTAAAAAAACAGACTATAGGTTATAAATGCATTTCATAAATTAATTTGCGTTTCTAACTTTATAAATTAGAAGAAGAAAGTGTAACTGCTACGTGCGTAGCGTTTTCGTAGGCTGTTAATGAGTGAAAGTGGGAAGCATTACTTTGCTACGAGTTCCAAGTTATGATACCTAGTCATATTTACATTGTTTCTGATAGGAGATTTCTCGATACTTAATCTTCCGTGTGAAAAGCGCTAAACGCCCAGTGTACATTCAAATGTGCTAAATATGACAACTCTCTTCAGGCTCAAGAATGTACGCCAAGAATGTATGTCCTTAGTTTTATATGAAAAACGCAACTGGGATCTTTTAAAGTATTGGCCAAGATACCATTATATTTACATGTTCATGTATAATCTTCATTATAATGTGCGCTGGCCGTTTACGTGACTATAGGAATAATATTTTCTGGGTCTGAATCACTTCATATACTCAAAAAGTTCGTCCTGGAAAATACGTGAACAGCACTGCGTTCCGGTTTTAAAAAGTAAGGATCAAGTCTCTCTGAAAGACCAGCCGGGCCTTAGGTGCATTTTTGGTACAAAGTATTACTTAGTATTTTGAATATTTTCTTCGAAAAAAATACTTGTAGCGCTACTTCAAATGCTTCTCTGCTTTTTCAGTGTGACTTGACCCTACCGGTACTGGTGAAGTTACAGGCACGTGAGAACTGTTACCTTATTTCACATGGTGCCGGGTGGAATGGCAGTGCCCCTCAGATCTTTGTGATTTAAAACCTTGACTAGCACTGCACATGTTATGGACAGGCGTGTCCCTTACTACCAGGCGCACAACTTGTTTGTTCCGTAACTAAGTATCAAAAAAAAATGTACATTTTCATGTACACGGGAACTTAGGACGTTCAATTCTATTACGTATTTTTAAGTACCTGTTAATATCACGGGTTTTTAATTTATAATATAATAACATAACTAAATAATATAACTAACTAATAACTTTGCCCTTATCGGACGAAATTGCAGAGATGACGTTTAGAGATGGCAATATTGTTGAATAAAATGGTCAAATAAGGGTTGTAATGTTTTTATATGGCTATTGTAAGATAATATAAAAGTTTATTGCTGTTCACCTGTTTTAAAAGATGCAAGCGGCTATGGCTTGTTATTTTGTGCCAAAGATACGGTCGTAAAACTTATTTTATCGTTTTGTTTATAGTACGTTTTAAATGTAAATACGTATTAGGACACATATATAATATATCTATACTGTAATACGCAATAAAAGAAACTTTTATAAATAAATATTAGACAACGTCATATACGTTGCTCTGATCCCAAAGTAAGTAACTAAAGGATGATTTCAGGTTATAGATTGAAGACTCTGCATAATAGTTGCAGAGTCTTCAATCGCTACAAAGATCTGAGGGGCACTGCCACTGCCCTCGTTACCCTGAGACATAACTTGACAAGTCCCATGTGCCTGTCATTTCACCAGCACCCTGACCCTTCAAAACCGGAACACAATAATGCTGATATTACTACTGGGTGACATAAATACTCTTCTGCTACTCTTAGACAATTACTTAATGTACACTTTTCAAGTTCAAAGAACAAAAGCGTGATATGAAATCACGTCCATAGTAAGTCTTCAAGAAAGGTGTAGGTGACACAAAACAAAAACAAATGGGTGACCATAAATTGAGTGATCTTATGTGGAATCTGTAATTAAGTAAATCTCTAAAGTAATTAATAACTATCGTCTAGACGAGTAGTGTTGTAAAAGAAGAGCCTGCTTTTTGTTGTATAAGTCCTGACTTAGA